TCTGACCTCCCCATAAAATTATCTTCTTAATAATATGCCGTACATGGTACATCTGTAACGTGTGGGGTGGGTTACCCCACGGCACTTGGGCCTCATTAGGTCTATTGTGCATCCTCCTGAGAAGATAAGCACCTCCTATCTCGTGAACCAACCTACAGATTTAATGTAGTTGACAATGTCGCCAAGAGGTGCTTCTCTTATATCGGCCGGTGTTAGCCGATACTCGCCGAACACAAATCTTCTAATAAATAAGAGCGTCGAGCAATCATAAAGGATATGCTCGATGGTCTCATCTTCTTGTTCGCACCCTCTGGAGAGTGCGGATTCTGCCAGCCCCATGATATGGAGATGCTTTTGTACTTGGCAATGACCAGTCAGAATGTCTGTGTCTAGGCGCAGTTTCTGTCTAGACATAGTCAAGTATTTGTTTGCTGCAGTGTTGTCAGGATAACTTAAGAGCTCCCTGGCAACTCTACAATTTCTTGTTTCATCTCATCTTTCCTTGAATTTGACAAGGGAATGTTCTTTGATTAGGTCTGTCACTGCCGATTTTGTCAGGCCAATAGAAGGGCCAGGTCCAAAAAGTATTTGGTTGGCTGCTTTTTTGGCTAGTGAATCAGCAAGACGGTTACCTATCGATGTGGCGTGACCTTTAATCCATCTTAAGGTGACCACGTTGTTGATGGATACTTCGGCCAAAGCTTCGTGACATTCTAGTATTAACCCTGAATAAATTCGTGGTCTGTTCAGGGTGAGTAGTGCTTGTCTGCTATCTGTATAGATGAGCATGTTCCTTCCAGTAATATTGTTTCTGGTTATTTCTTTTGCTGCTATGAGAATCCCTGTTAGCTTTATTTGAACTAAACTGGCATTATTGCTTACAGCCCATTTTATGTTTATGTTTAAGAATCTGAAGTATATTCCACATCCTTAGCCTTGTTTTGTTTTAGAACTGTCGGTGTAGATATGAATCGTACCTGCCACCTCCGGCTCTTCTATTTATTTTATTATAACTTTATATGGCTTATGAAAGATATATTTCGGTGAGATGGAGTCCATGTTCGCTTGAAGCAGTGGGAGCGTATCCAGCGCCTCGTGCCAAAAGTGACGTCTTGCCTCACGAGATCCTATACCAGGTTCTATTTCGATCGTGCGGAGGCATGTCATTGTCGTCAAAGCAACCTCCTTGATTTAAATATCAAGGAGAGTGAGACTAAGAATGACTTCCATCGCTCTAGTCGGTGTTGGTTTTAATGGCTCCTGTTATGTTGAGACATGCTGTTCTTTGAATTTGTTCTAGTTTACGGATAGCTGGTAATTTTTGGGTTTTCGGTACTTAGAAAACTGCACCGTATGTTAGCATAGGTCTTATGATAACCGTGTAAGTTTATGCGCCCTACGGTTCGGCGACATTGTTCATAAGCAATGTATGCTTTTTTAACTCTGTTTTCTAAATGCGAGTTCCATGTTAACTTGCTGTCAAAGGTGAGACCTAGGTACTTTACCTCTGTTGCAAAGTTTAGTTTTGTGTTTAGAAGTTCTGGAGGTTTTAATTCCATTTTCAACCTTTTCCTTGTGAAAAGGACCACTTCTGTCTTTTTAGGATTGATAGACAGTGAATGGTCCTTGCACCACTTTTCTATAATTTTTAGAGCAACTTGCATTCTTTCGTAGAGTATTATCTCAAAATTTTCTGTTTGCAGAATGACCAGGTCATCTGCATATGCAATTATTGAAGCGAGTGTCAGGTACCATATTCCACAGTAGAGATGATAGCACCCCTCCCTGTGGACATCCCATCTCAACCAAGCCTCTTATATTCACATCTTCTACCCTTATGTTTACTGCTCGCTTTGAGAGCATGCTATGTATCCATCCACTAACCATTTGTGGAACATTCCTCTTGGTTAGTAAGTGTATTATCTTTGGGAAGGTGGTTTTATCAAAAGCACCTTCTATGTCTATGAAAACACCCAAGGCGGACTCCTTATTTTCCAGGAACCTTTCTATCCGGCTAGCAACTAGATGAAGGGCTGAATCAGTAGATCTGCCTGGGGTGTATGCATGTTGGTTTGGGTGTAGTGGTGTTGTAATTACCACATCCCTTATGTACCTTTCGCATAGCCTTTCCAATGTCTTCATGGAAAACTATGTCAGACTAATTGGTTTTTAAAACAGTGTAATTCATCCTTTCAGGTTTGGGTATGAATACCACTTTTACCTTTTTCCATTTTTGGGGAATATACCTTAGAGCCAACGAGGATCTGAATATACCCACCAGGGGCGGTGTGAGTTCTTCCAGACCCCACTAAAGTAAGGCTGGATAGATACCGTCAGGTCCGGGCGATTTAAATGGAGAGAAGACCATCTAATTTTCTCATCGTTTACAATGTGTTTGGCAGTTTGTCAATCATAGAAAGATGGATTGTGTTCTTCCTCTGCCCAGTCCGTTACGTCTGTAATGACCAAGTCAGTGAAGTGTGTTGACAGCAGAAGTTTGATGCTTCGGGGTTGGCAGTTTTCGTGCCATCCTCTTTAATTAGCGCACCAATGCTTTGGTGTGGATCTTTTGAGAGAACCTTTTGAAGCTTCGCTGCCTGCAGGAAATTTTCGATTTCTTCGCAGTGGATCTCCATGCATCTCTCTGTTTTTGTCTGACGATTTTTTTTTGTATTCTCTAAGGTGAGATTTGTAAGAATCTTAGTCCTCTTTGAGTTTTGTGGTTCTTGCCTTATTAAAAGGTTTTCCAGCCACCTTCCTGAGATGATCCAGTCGTCTGATCATGTTGGACCAGCCACAGAAGACAACATTTCTTATAGGCATAGTTTATTGTGCTTTGGATAGTGTTCGTGTACTTTTCTAAAGCAGTATAATTGTTTGGTGTTTCGGCCTCCATCTCCCTCAGAGCCTCTTGGAAAAGGTGGGCACAGGTTGCCCTGTTCGTCTTCCTAGGATTCTAAGATAACGTGGAGGTCAGCAACATCAAGTTTATTTTGAATGTTAACCAGCGGTGGTCTGATATCAAAATGTTATCAGACACTTGCCAGTTTAGAATTGATTTATAGATACAAATTGTGGATAAAGGGATCTCTATTAATGTTTGACTGCGAGAGTTTAAAAATGTTGGTGTGATACCTTTATATAAAAAACAAAAATTTTTGGTAATTTTATAATCATAAAGTGACTTACCTCTAGCGTTGTTATCCTTACTGCCCCGACTGAAGTGATGAGCGTGTGAGTCGCAACCCACTACCAGCTCAAACGTCTGTTCCAGGCAGTATTCAATCAGATCCTCCATCTCTTTGCTGGGTGGTGGCGTGGTTGCGTCGGAGGAGAGGTATGCAGATGCCAGGATTAACGTTTTCTTTTCCCTTTTAATGGCGTATTCCATCCTAACCGCAGTTAAATCGGAGGTGGAAAGGTGCGCCATTAAGTGGGTTTTCTATTTTTTAGGAACGTAAATGGCTGTCCTAGGTTGTTGGTTGCTGGAAAAGCTAAAAATTGAACCATTTAGATTTTTAAGACCTAAAATTTTGGTTTTCATTATCCAGGGTTCCTGGATGAGTGCTATTGTATCTTGCAGCCCATCAAAGCGGCGACATTATGTTGCCGTAACCACCCTTTTGTGTTGCAAATTACATTGTATGATCGTTACCTATTTTATTGCTTTCCAGTCCTACGTTAAAAATTAGGCAGCAAGATGGTTATTTATTTGATCATCCCTTCCTGCGAAAGTTGGGAGGGGGTGGTCTCTTTTGGCTCCTCGGAGTTTTCTTGCTGGAGATCATCGATTGCCATTTTGCCTGGGTCGACGTCCTCCACTGTTGGCTTAAATTGGGTAGGAAGAGGGTCCTTTGCCAAGGAGTCTTCACTGGGCCCCGCTTCAGCCTCTTTTTTGACATGGTAAATTTCTTATTTAAAATTAAGGGGTTAGAGAAGTGGAATGGAGTGGCTTGATACATGACCGATGTCTGTATTGTAAAAATGTATTTAATTTAGAATACAAATTGACTTTTAGCATTTTCTTAAAATCCAATGATTATTGCCGAAAAACAGGATGAAACTGTTTTGAGTAACCCACTCTGTATACTAAAAAATGGCTAGATTTATCGAATTAGTTTATATAACAAAATCTGCTTAAAAATTGTTTTTTACAAGATATGCTATATAAGAAAGATCCTCCCTTCGAAAAAAAGCGTTGACAGCGTCGCCAGAAGGTGCATCCTTTATATAAGCCGGTGATAGCCAATTCTCGCCAAACACAAATCTTGTAATAAATGAACGCGTCGGTTAATCGTAAAGAATATGCTCGATGGTTTCATCCTTTTGTTTTCATCCCCTTCAGAGTTTGAAATCTAACAGTCCTATGGAGATGCTTCCGTACTTGACAATGTCCATGTGATCAGGCATGAATTCTGCTTAGTCATAGTCAAGTATTTATTTGTTCTAGTGTTGTCAGGATAACTTGAAAGCTCCCTGGCAAGTCTACAGCTTCTTGTTCCATCCCACCTTTCCTTGAATTTCACAAGGGAATGTTCTTTAATTAGGTTTGTCACTATCGATATTGTCAGTTCACTAGAAAGGCCAGGTACACAAATTATTTGGTTGGCTGCCTTCTTAGCGAGTACGTTAGCAAGACGGTTACCTTTCGATGTAGCGCGACCTTCTATCTATCTTAAGTTTATTATAGAGAGCCTGTATTATATGGGGATTTATCGATTAGTTATTTAAGGGTAATAATTTTATCACCACGCCTTTTGGACATTCTTTTTTGTTCTTCGACATCGTCATTTGTCACTTATTAATTAATAATAAAGCCACGGTCACATTTCTTTTAAACAAAGGATTTCAATTTTTTTATTTACATATTATTCAAGGCCTGTTGCGATGTTAGCCAAAGGTGTAGTTGTTTTCCTGGAGGGAAATGGTCGGCAGTATTAAATCACACTAACTTTTGACATTAATTTCTATTTTATTATATTCTATTATACTTTTTTCAGATGTCCTTCAGCTTCTTGAAATGCGACACTTCTGGTAACCCTGACAGTTGCGAGTTTTTCTTCAAAGATCAAAGGATAGAAAACGCTTGCAAGTATTTTACTATGAAGGACCAGTCTTGGAGCGGATTTGTCGGATATTTTGACAAGGAGCTAAAATGCCCTCTAAAACCTGTAAGTATTATTAATACTTGTTAGGAATACAAAGTCAATTGTTAACCATTCTCATGTAACATACGTTTTAATATTAACTTGGATTGTACTCCTTATGTATATCTATATAAACAGAACTTTAATATTCCTTAAGGTGTTAAGATGTCGTTTTTTATTTTTTGTTTTTAATTATGTACACATTCAGACAATTCACATTTATTTCTAGCCTTTATATTTACCTTTTACCAATTTAGTGCACTTTCTTTTAGGATTTAGGCTACTGCATTATTACTGATTTTGATATTTATTTTGCATACGTAGTAAGTGGCCAAATCATCTCTGCTGATTTCTTTCAATGCTTTAAAGGTCTAACTTCCAGCTCCGCTCTTATGTATTTATTTCGAATTTTGTCCTTTCTATTGATTCCTAATATTATTTCATTTTTACCGTTTGCAGTTCTCTTTTTGTTAGGGCCCTGTACAGTGTGCAACAGTCAAATGGAATAAAATAGGTAATAAATGGGGGCGTGTTCGAAAAAATGTTCGGACACATTGATTAGTATTATTTGTTGTACATTTTTTTTAACAAACATTTTTATGCAGGGTGTGTCATGTAACAGTGGCTAATACAAACTTTTTTATTTTAACACTATATATCTAACTGTTTCGGATATAATAAATGTTTTCTGATTTATTGCAAAAATTAAAATTAATAAAATAAAATTATTTGATTAAAGAAATTCGTTTCAACAAACTCAAAAACTTACTGATACTGTTTATTTCTTGATAATGTAACAAAAATATCCCAGGCATGACCAATCTAATCCAAGCGTTATTCGTCTTCTTAAGTCAGCTAGGTCGAGAGGTTTAGTTTTGTATGCAACACTTTTGATATATCCCCATAAGAAAAAGTTTTATGATATCAGATCAGGGGATCGTGCTAGCCATTCCATCGATTCTCGAATTGAGGTACTGCCGGACATTGATTTGGTAATAGGGCGGTGCTCCATCTTGCTGAAACTATATCATATTCGCCGCTGAAACTATATCATATTCGCCGTAACTCGTAGATTTGCTGGATTAGAATATAAGTTCGTTAAAGTTGGCACGACATTATTTTGGAGCAGCGCTAAATAATCATCAGAAAACAAAACATGTTCTAATTGGATCACCATATTATCTAACATCGCCATCATTTGTTCACAAAATTGCGTTTTCTTATAAAAATTGTCTTCCATGAGCTTCTGAGTTGCTATTATATTATAATGATGCATGTTCGAAAAGTCGATGAATGGCTACTATCGAACATTGGAACTGCTTGTCGACCAAAATAATGTGAGTTTTCCTGAAACTCAAGCATAATATCCAATTTGGTATTATTAGTTAGTGCATTGGCAGCTGTTTTTTATCTGTCTTACATGTCCCAGCTTGCCAATTCTTTACTTTACTAATTGTCCCTTGGGATATACGCAGCAAATTAGGAAATTTTTCATGGAATAAGCGACCAACTTTCATTTGTGTCCGTATGTTATCTTCATAACCAATTATCTATATAATTGTTATTTTGTGCATTTCTGTTAAATGGGGCATTTTTCTGATATGCAGTTAAGGACATTCAAATGACTATAACACTGATAACTACTGTCATGCAGTGAGATAAAAATTTGCTAAGGGCAGGCATTTTAAACAAAACTATTTAAGTATAGCCTTTTTTTTAATTTCATATCAGTAAAAAGAAACGCTGAAATGGTTTTTTGCTTACTTTCTTATTATCAAGACCTAAATGGGAAATAAGTATTTAGTGTGTTGTAGCGAATTTATGTGATCAAACAATTTATTTTAATGTTAATTTTTGCAATAAATCGGAAGACATTTAATATCTCCGAGACAGTTAGGTATAAGACATAGTACATAAGATTTGTCTAGAATTTTCTAAAGAATCCAAACATTAAAAAATATGCATGATGCTGCATTTAAAATAAGAAAGTTGGTATTGGTCACTGTTACATGACACACCCTGTATAAAAAGTTTTTGTTAAATAAAATGCGCAACTAAAAATATCAATCGACGTCTCCGAGAGTTTTTCCGGTATCCTCCTATTTGCGTACGTCCCATTTGCGTACACGGTTAATTTTGTCCCACTTGCGTACACCGTGGGGTCATGCCTTGTGGCAGGTAAAAATATTATGATGCATAGTCCTACTTGCGTACACACATAAAATAGGGCCTATTAGATTACAGTTTGAAAATGTTATAATTTTCTTTTTTAATGGCCACAAAATATTGCAAAATAAAAGTTTATTTCATGTATGTTAAGTTAATACCTATTTACGAACTAAGGACTAACAAAATTACTATTATTTTCAAGTAGTCCAAAAATGTTATTTACGTTTTAAATAAATGAAAATAATTGTATATAAGTACTCTTAATAAGTAATCGTTAATATCAGGTAAAATTTAACATTATTCATTATTCGATAATTGATTTTTGAATTTCCTAACACTACTGCCATATTATTCAGTTCAGTCGTCTTATAACCGTTTTTATTTCCAAAATAGATCAACTTCAAAATAGTTAATACGACCAAAGGGAAGCCATCAGCAATTTTAAGGACTAACACTATCGACAACATAGAAAAAACAAACAAGAGGTTGTTACATGGTTGTGCGTTAAAGAAAAAAGTGGAAAATGCCGGGAACATTAAAAACAAATAAATCCCAAGTTCTATCAGTATCTGAGCCTAACTGTTAACCAAATTTGACACAACTAGAAGTGAAAGTTCATAAAGAAAATGCCAAAAGCGAGCACGAGAAACTGATCTAGACATTCCAAACATTTACCGTGAAGACATGATGCCACTTTTTGATCGTGGAATTGACTTTGTCTGCAATATTCCAATGTTGTCTTCAGTAAAGACCAGTTTATATCGACACAGACAAAAAGCAAAAGGACTGTCGAAAGAGCCAAAATGTGTATCGGATGTCGAAATACCTGAAAGGTCTCTTCTTTTAAACGATGGATCTTCCTTCCTGGTCGCTGATGATGGTTACGAAGACAGAATTTTAATATTTTCGACATCGATTGGGAAAGAGATTATATTAAACCAGAATACTTTCTTTATGAACGGCACTTTTAAGTGTTGCAGTAAACAGTTTACTCAACTTTATACAATACATTACTCAAGAACAAAACTCGCTCTAAATATGAGAGTTTATTTACGATAATAAAAGGAGCCACAAACTGGAAACCAACATTAGTGACTGAAGGAAGCAGTAATTATAGCTATAAGGAATGTGTTTCCTAACGTTGCAATAAATGGCTGTCATTTCCACTACAATCAATGTATATGGCGGAAAGTACAACAGTTGGGCCTAGTTGTAGAATACCGGCACGATGATGAACTGCGACTACATATTCGTATGTGTGCTGCTTTGGCGTATATTCCACTTGAAGATTTGGATATCAGTTGGCTAACCATTCTAGAAAATTCACCCCGTTAACGAAAAACTTCAAAAGTTCTACGATTATTTCGTGGATCAGTGGCTAGAAAATAGTTAATTACGCCAGATATGTGGAACTGCAGCAACAAGCTCCATCGTACAAATAACGTCGTGGAGGGATAGAACAAGTTACATCATCTGGTCAAAAGAAACCATTTGCCTATCTTACAGTTGATTAAATACTTAAAAGAAGAAGCAGAAAATAGTGATTTTCTTTATAAACGAAAAGAATTGAATTTGGAGGGAAAAGAAGAAAAAAAAAAATACGTCAAGTTGGACATTAGAATTAATAAAATAATAGCGACATATACAGAAGCAAAAGACGTTAAAAAATACCTAACTTCTCTAGCTAGTTAGAGTAACTGACTGTAGGGCTCTGCATTTTGAATATATTTTGTAAATACCATTATTTTTGTAAATTCTTAAACAAAAAAAAAATAAAAATTAAAAAACTAAAATAAAATACAAAAAAAACTTTTAAACACGCCAGCAAATCGCTCCCAGTCCTAAGCCTGGAAATGGTGTGAAGGAAAGTTTTAAAAATAAAATTGAGTATAACTGTATATGTACGCAAGTAGGACTAATATCGTAATACTTTTACCTGACTCAAGAGATAATCTAACCCGTGTACGCAAATGTGACAAAATTGACCGTGTACGCAAATGGGACGTACGCAAATAGCACTATATCGTTTTTGCGACCCCTTTTATTAATTACCGAATTTATTCCATTTGAATGTTCAACAATGTATATTGAAAAAAAGTTAAAAATGGTTTTGTACACAGCTATTTTTGGTTTCTTACGAAAAAATGCATTCCTTAGTGCATAATATAATTTGAGTATACTTTTAATTCGTCCATTAATCTCCGCGTTCATTTTTCCTTCCTCATGTCCCAAATATTTAAATGTCTCCAATTGTTGAACTTTTCATTTGGCTGAATTTCTGTTTTAGTTTTCCTGATCTATTAACATTACTAATTTTATTATTTTTTATTTTTTTATTCGTTAATTTTTAGATTTGTAGATATTTTTCGTTTTTAGCATACACAACTAAGTCATCAGCAAAGGCACATTTAGAGATATCGGGTATCGGTACTATATTTTTGTAACCTACCCGATCTTTTATCTCTTTTTTACATCATCCTTTATTACATTGAACAGTGTCGGACCTACAACTCTTCCTGCATTAAACCTTATTTGGTGGTAAACCCAACTAACAAAGTTGCTCTATTATTTTTAGTTTACGAGACCATTTAATTTTATTGATATTAATTGCTGCTTCTGGAATGGTAATTTGTTGTACTATTGCAGAAACCACTATTGTGTTCTCTGAAAGTAAAGCGTTATATAATAGTATATTACGTAACAAGAGTTGTAAGTAACCCATTACGCACGAAGTGAAAAAGTTACGCACAAAGCCGCGTAGCAACGAGTGCGTAAATTTTACGAGTGCGTAATGGGCAACTAAAAAATTAAACGGCTACATTTGGTAGTACTTACACCATATTATCATGTATTTT